TCATAAATCCTGGCTCCCGACAGGTAGCCTGAGGCCTCAGGTGGGCGGATGGATCAGGGACAGCATTTCCCAGACCCAGCAAGTCGAGGCTTGGCCGGCCCTTGCCTGGTGGGCTTGGGCAGCCCTCCTTGGGTGCCCAGCCTTGGTTCTGCTGCAAGAACACCCACCCCCACACCCTGGGCTGCTCTTCTTTGTCACCAGATAGAGTGGTGGGCCTGCCGGGCGCCTCCTGACAACTCCCAGGAAGGGAGTCCCCACGTGCTAAGGGGTCCATCAGGGGCCCCAGGTCATCAGGTCACCCACAGTGGCCTGGTGAGAGGAGCCAGGGGCCAGCCTTGGCCCCAGGCAGGAAAGTCCAGCCAGCTGTGGGTCCTGTTGCTCAGGCCGGGAGGAGGGCTGGAGGAAAGAGGTCAGGGGAGCGGGCAGCCTGGGAGGGCGGCCTGGGTCGGGGATGGGAAGCCTAGTCTCGGGCGGAGGGCTGGGCCTTCCCCGGTACCGTGGGAATGGGCTGGGCTCCCTCTCTGAGGTCCTCAGCGCCCTGGCCCTGCGTGGCATTTGGGTTGGTCTGAGGTGGCTGGGGTGGGGGCCTGCAGGTTTCCCTCGGGCCTGGCCGGCACCCATCCTTCGGCTGAGCCTGAGTGGTGGAGGGCAGCTGGGCCTCTGCCTCTGCTCTGTTCCCCCCTGGGCCTGGGGAAGGGGCATCCCTGCCTGTGGGGACTGCAGGGATGCCAAGCTCCTGGGGGGAAGAGCTGCCGGGGGAGTGGTGCCTGGTGGGTGGAGAAGGCTGCCTGGTCCCCTGGGCCACTTCGCAGGCCATGGCCACCCTGCCAAGGGAGTCTCCAGGGTTTCTTTACGGGATTCCTCTGCCTTTGGGGGCTCAGTCCTGGCCTGCCGTCCCACTGCCCTCCTGGTGTCAGACCCAGCAGCAGGAGCCTCGGTGCTCTGGCCCTCTGTGGGGCCTGGGTGTCTGTCCTCGTCCCCAGAGCCTGGAGAGCACAGAACATCTGCTGGCAGCCAGGGGGCCCCAGCTCAGGCTGAGTGGCCAGGCTTGGAGTCACAGAAGTAGGGGTCCCAAGGAAGGAGCTGCAGACCCGTCCAGAGAAGGGTCCCTGACGGTGGCCGGCTCAGAGCCCAGTGCTGCTGTGTGGCGTGTGGACCTAGAAGGGAGCTTGGCTCTCGGGACCTGCCTTACAAGGAGTGGGGGGTGAGGATGATCCCCAGCTCCCGGCCTGGCCTCCGGAGAAGGCTTGTCTCCTGGAGGGAGCTGCAGCCTTTGGGGCTCTGGCCACGGCCCCTTCGAGTTCCCCGAGTGGCTCTCAGCCTGGCCTGCAGGTCCAGGTGCCTGGGAGGGCTGCCTCCTGCCCTGAGGGAAGGGGGTACGAGGGGAGGGTGGGAGCCACTGTGCCCCATCCTGGGTGGGCCATGGTGATGCAGGTCCCCCGGAATTGGGGTGTCAGGGCACAGGGAAGGGGGGACTCTAGCTGTCCCTGATCCTTGCTGGCCTCTGTTCTGAGGAAACACTGCTCAGGGCAGAGGCCCATGCAGAGTGCCCCACCCAGGGCCTGATCCTGCCTCTTGACTCCTGGGGACTCCCATGTCACACCTCTTCCAGGCCCTGCCACTCCTGGTATCCCTCCCCTGGCAGTTCACCACGGCTGAGGGGGACCAGCCTCTTTCCTGTCCCCAGGGTCTGGACTGGCCCTGGCTGGCCCTGACTGTTCATCTCAGGCTGTTTGCCTTGGAGACGTCTCTGCCACCAGCACAGGGGGAGGGGTGTACCCCAACAGGAGCCTTGTGGCATCTAACAGTGTGGAGGGGCTTGCAGGGCATGGCGGGCTTGAGTCTGGGCTCACTGCCAGGAGGGGGTACTACCTGGTGGGGCTCCAGCCCTGCGACTGGGCAGTGGCTCTTTGAGGTGGGTCCTGCGGGCTCTTCCTCATCTGCCTCACCCCTGCGGGCTCCGAGGCTCACAGCGCCTGCCAAGGCCGTGGCGGGCCCCTCAAATCCCGGCCCCCATTCATACCAGGTAGCTGACCTGAGGACCCCATCGTGGTACCCACTTTGAGTGGACCCCCTGACCTTGGGTATGGGCCTCCTCCTGCCCCTCAGGATGCCCGTGGCTGCCAGGTTGGCTGAGGGCATGGTCTTTGGGGCCCTGGCCCAGGCTGCTGGTGGCTGGTACTAATGACATTTGTGGAGTTGCTGCCTCTGAGCAAGGACCCCTGGGATGGGGCCAGAGCGGGCCTGCAGGGTCTGGGCAGCCCTCCCTCTGTACCGAGGCCCCTGGAGACGCAGGGTGTGGCTCTGTCTGAGGGCTGCTGTTGGTGGACATGGAGGTGAAAGTCACGGTGGCACACGTGCTTCGGTGGTGTTGGCACATCCTCTGTGCAGTGTCACCGTCCCCTCCGTCTACTCCCAGAGTGTTTGCATGGTGCAGACCCCGCCCATCACCCTCACTCCCAGCCTGGGCCAGCGCTCACCATGGACTCGTTCCTTCTGGACACTCGCTGAAGAGTCGTGCGGTGTGTGATCTTCCGGGACTGGCTTCGTGCACTTGGCGTGATCTGAGGGATTCTCAGTGGTGGGGAACATGCTCTGTGCTGGGGACACGGGGCTCTGCCGGGGGCTGAGTGTGCGTTCAGGGAGGCGGAGGTGAGGGAGCGCCTAGAGGCAGCTGGCGAGGGCAGCTTGAGGGTCTCTGGGCAGTAACCCTTGGCCACGGGATGAACAAGGCCAGTCCAGCCTGAGGTCTGGGAGGGTAGTCACTGGGCAGCGGGCCTGTGCGGGGGCCTCTTCTTGTTGTTATCTGGCCCTCTCCATGACCACCCCTAGCTGTGTGTTTTAGGGCTTGACACAAGCAACTCCATTTTGTTGGAGTTAAGCCAAAGAAGATGGAAATCTTGCCCTCCAGGGGCCCACGTTCTGGGGGGATCAGGCGATGGACAGACCGCGTGCCTAGGTGCCCCAGGGGGAAGGATGGGTCTCCAAAGGTGTGTGGGGTTGGGGTGCAGGTGGCAAACCTCACTGAGCAGGGAACTTTGAACCTGAAGTGCAGTGTGGGTCCTTCCATGACCGACCCCCACGCACGCCTGCTCTCCCTCTCTGTTCCTTCCCCGTGCCCTGATGGCAGCTGGGCTTCCTTCTGTGTCCCCACCCTACCAGCCCAGTGCTTGGCTCTGCCTGCTCCCTGGCCCCCAGCGTGGGCTGAGGACTGCCACTTCCTGGGGTGAGGCTCCTCCGGGAAGGCTGTTCTGGCTCCTGTCCTGGAGGATTTCCTGTGGCCCCGCGGCCTGGGCCGGGCACCAGCCCATCCCTGCCCTGGGGCTTGCAGGCACATCTGGGCACATCACCCAGCGCAGAGTCACAGGGCTGTGGGCTCTCAGAGCAGGGCTCAGCCCGTCCCAGGAGTGGGGGTGCCCAGCGTGGATACGCCTAGGCAGGGGGAGAGGGGGACCCCAGCAGCTCTGGCGGTGACAGGGCAGAAGGTTTCATCCTGAGTACCAGTCCTGTGGCCCCAACGGTGCTGTGCCAGGCTGAGGACTTCTCCTGTGGGTGAGGGGAACCCTGAGCTGTGGCCTGCAGCCTCTCACCCTGGTGCCCCCCAGGATCGTGGCAGGGCCCCGTGAGGTTGTCCTGCCCTGATGGAGTGGCCCAGTGCTCCTGTGGCCTGTAGGAGCCCAGCCGTGCCAGCGCTGTGAGATGACTTTCGGGGTCCCTGACATCGCCCACCTGGCCACTTGCCTTCTGTGGCTCCTGAATGTCAGGACAGGCCCCTCCCAGGCTGCTGGGCTGGCCTCTGGGCTGCCTCCCCAGGCGGGCCCGGAACCCTCCCTGAGCACCCGCTCTGACCTCTGTGCCGAAGGCCTCGGTCTCGCCCTGTGGAACTCTCTAGGAATTCCCAGGAATTCCCACTGTCAACCTCTGAGGCCGGGCTGGCGGCTTGTCTCAGCCTCCAGAGACTGCTGCCTGCTGTCGGGCCACAGCTTTTCTCACGGGATTGTGGCCATCCCTGAGACCCTGAGCCCAGCCGGGGGGCTTCCAGGGACCCTTCTGAGGAGGTGCAGAGAGAGATGCCAGGCCCGGGGGAGCCTGGGGCTGGGTCAGGCCTGGGACCCAGCTGGTACCCAGCTCCGTGAGCTTCTCACATGTGTCCAGGAGGGGTCTGGCTCCCCCCACCAGCAGCATCTGGCCATCTGGCCATCTGTGCTTGGGGCGAGTCAGGGTCCCCACTTGCTCTGAGCCCCACTCCAGGTTCTGTTTCCCATAGAGCCAGGGGGAACCGGGGACTCTGGCATCTAGAGGTGGGTGGACAGGAGTACCTGGACCTTGTGTTGGGCAGGTCTACACAGATGTGAGGTCGACACAGGTGTGAAGTGTCCCAGGGACAGCTGACTTTCCCTGAGAGCAGCCTTGGTCCCCTGGCCCCTGACTGGCTGAGTCAGAGGTGTGGGGAGGCAGTGGTGCTGCCCCTGCCCAGGACTGAGTCCCTGCATCCCTGTCGGCCAGGGGCCTGCTGCGGAGGCTCTGCCCACCTGCACGGGCAGGAAGAGTGGGGGTTCTGCAGCGGGCGGCCGGGCTGCGTGTCACGGCTCTTGGCCTGCCCCAGGTCTGACCCAAGGCCCCATGAGTCTAACTGGCCCATGAGGGGAGGCTGGGCCTGGAGCTCTCACGATGGGTCCCAGGCAGCTGTGAGAGTGGCTGTGGGGGACCCTGCTGGCCTCCGAGATGAAGGCAGCTTGGTCTCCCTGGAGAACCTGAAGCTGCAGCCGACAGCTTGAGCTGCCTTCTGGGCTTCAGACCCCGTGTGTCTGCTCTCATGGAGCAGACCCCCTCTGCCAAGCTGCCCAGATGGCATCTGCAAACATGTGGCATCCGAGTGTGTTCCCTGTTGGGCAGCGTGGCTCAGGCCGCACAGTGGGTCTCCCGTGAGGCCTACCTCGCTGGACAATTGTGCTCCGAGGCCCGGGGACCCTGAGCGTCTTTGGCTTCTCCCTTTGCAGATGTAGACGAGTGCACCAGTGCCAACGGAGGCTGTGAGGGCCTGTGCTGCAACACAGTGGGCGGCTTCTACTGCCGCTGCCCCCCTGGCCACCAGCTGCAGGGTGACGGCAAGACCTGCCAAGGTAGGGAGGACTCGTCCCACTGCCAGCTACCCCGTTCCTGCCCCACCTCACCGGCGAGGCTCCGCCTTCCCAGCCCCAGGCTGCTCTGGTGGGGGGACTTGAGGTCCTTGGGGTACCCAGACCCTCAGGGTGTTCCTTACCCCCGTGTGCACCTCACAGTCTAATCTCCACCCCCCAAACTGCCTCAGAGGACTCAGAACCTGATGTTGGCGGGAGGCACCCTGGGGTTGTGCAGGGGGAGGGAGGGGCTGCACAGGGAGCCCCGTGCCCGGCTGTGCTGGGAGGCACGGGGGGCGCCTTGCCTGGCAAGGATCTCAGAGGCCCAGGGCGGAAGTGCTCGCCAGCACTGGGCGGGCTGCAACCCCACCCCACCAGCGCTGGCAATCTGTCAGTAAGATCCAGACCAGACAGAAAGATCCCTGAGAGACAGCGGCCTTGAGGACGGAGGCAGGGAGAGGGGCCCCGAGCTCCCGCTCCCCTCCTGCCGTGGCCCGCTCTAGCTTGACCCTGGGAGGCGTGGGGCAGCTTGGCCTTCGCAGAGGGTCTCTGAGCACAGGTCAGCGCGCCCCAGCCCTGCTCTCCCCGGCAGGCAGGCGGTCTCTAGAACATCCTCAGCTGAGCTCCACACTGTCTCCAGCTGTGCTCCCACAAGCTGCCTGTCCAAGGGTGGGGGCCAGGCTGATGGACTGGGGGTCGGGGGAGACAGGAGAGGAGGAGGGGAGACAGGAGGGGAGACAGGAGGGGAGACAGGAGAGGCTGCCTTCTGGGATGTTCTGGGATCGTGGACTTCTGGGTGCTCCTTGATGTCACGTTCTGGTGGCCGGCAGGGCTGGGGAAGGGGAGAAGCTGCTGTGACCTCCCTGCTCACACTCCAGCCCTGGGGACCCGCTGGGCCTTGGGGAACCCAGGGCTCTGGACACAGTGAGGAAAGGAGGTGGCCTCAGCCAGGCATTCTCCACCAGCTCCCAGAAACCCGCCTGCCCCGGCCTGTGTCTCGGTTTCCCCTTCTTGAAATGGACACCATTGGGGTGACATTAAAGCCCCCAAAGTCCAAACCTCAGGATAGGGGGGGTGCTGGTGGAGTTGTCCAGGAGCATCTCCCCCCAAATCCAGGGCGAGGAGGGGTTGCCTGGCTGCCGTGCCCCAAGTTTGGCTTGTCCACCTGGCGCCCCTGCATGTAGCAGGTCTGAAGGGGGCTACAGCCCTGGGCGGGAGGTTCCAGGACAGGGGGGAGGCGGGAGGGGGGTGGGTTTCAGGATGGTGCTTGTGTTTCTCCACCTGGACTGACCAGGCAGCCAGCCCGTCCAGGATGATGTCCTCCTCGAGGAGACTCTGCCTGTCCCCTCATCTCCCAGAGTTTCTCCCTCTCTCTGGGCTTAGGGCCAAACCCTGGCCTGACTCTGGCATTGTGGGTGGTGGCTCATAATTTGAGCGGATCTCACACCCACCCAGGGAGCAGCCCTCCCCTCCTCACCTGGTGTTGCCCGGCAGGCCTGGGCCAGGGGCTGGGAGTCACTGTTGGGGGCAGCACCCAGGACCCCAGTGGGCATGGACTCCTCTGGTGTAACTGACGGACACTCTGTGGGGTCAGGGATAACCAGCTCCCATGAGCCAGAGGGCTGGGCAATTTCCCACACCTGCCAAGGGCCTCGAATGCTCCGTTTGATGTGGTAAGAGCCTGGCCCTGGGTGGGCTCCCTCCTGGCTCTGCGGTGAACTGGGGAGTGTCGGTACTGCTCCACCACTGCCTCCCAGCTGGGGGTGGAATCGGGCCCTGGCCCTGCAGCCTCCCAGGTCCGGCTGGCCTGGTTCCCCTAGGGCCTGCTCACTGCACCTGGGCCGAGGGGCTCTGACACCTGGATTCTTGATGGTGCCCAGGAAGCTAGACTGGGGCTGAGCCAGGCCTGGGGCAGGGGTTGCCCAAGGTGTCCTCATACCCTTGGTGAGAAACCAGGCAGAGCATGAGGCGCAGGCCCTGCGGGAGGGTGAGAGGGCCTGGACCCTGGGAAGCTCCACTCTGCAGCAGGGTCAGGTTCCTGGCTGGCTCCAGGGCTGGGGGCCTGCCAGGCCTGGGTGTGGCCCACCGATCCTTCCCTGGCCCACCGATCCTTCCCTGCAGCCGGTGCCTGTCACAGGCAGATACTTGGGCTCTTGCTGTCTCCCAGGTGTGGCAGTTACTGGGCTGCTGTCTGGGGTCCCTCCTGGGAAGAGCTCCTGGCCTGGCCTTGGCTGGCCCATCACAGTGGGTGCAGGGGCCTCAGACCCTACACAGGGACCTTGCTCTGGGCTTGAGAGTCCATGTCAAGGATGAAGGTGGTTCCCAGGGGCCAGGGCCTGCCGGTCCCGAGCTGGGCTCCAGGCTCCAGGATGTTCTGCAGGGCTGAGGTGGTGAACCTGTGCCTCTGCCTTCCCTGATTCTCTGGCGGGTTCCTGGGCAGGTGTGTTGAGGCCTGGGAAAGGGGGTCCCGAGGGCCTGTGGCACCCCAGACGCAGAGCTGCTCTCTTTCCAGCCTGCCTGTGTCTATTTCCTGATTCTGCGAGGCGGGTGGCGATGAGGCTCTCCTAGAACAGAGCTGTTCCCGTGGTGGGTAGGCTTCCCCAGACCCTGCTCTCAGAAGCTGGGGGATGGTGACCTGCTCTGGGGCTGCTGTCCTATGTTGATGGTCATTCAGACGTGGTTGGCTATGGCTGTAGCTCCACCAGGGCTGAGCGCAGTGTCAGCAAGCAGATCCACCCTGGCTTCCGCCTGAGCTGCTCAGGAGGCCTCGGTGTCTCTGTTGGGGGTCCCTAAGGACAGGCTGGTTCTCGCCACCCCGCAGAGTTGGCTGGAGGCAGGGTCATGGACCAGGTGGCCAGGGGCCCAGGTGGGAGGCTGCTTGGTGTCAGCCAGGGATCTGGCCTCAGTCCCCGCACTGGCCTCCCACGCCCACGGCTGCCCCTTGCCTGGCCCCGATCCCCTGAGAGTCTGCTGCCCCAGCTCTGCGTGTTTGGGATGGCTGTGGCTCCGAGTCACCATGTGGCTGAGGGGGCCCTGCTGAGAGCCAAGAGCCTGCTGTTTTCTCTGTCCCCCTGCCAGCTTCCCTCCCCTGAAATCGCGGCTCTGGAGAGCAAGTGCGAAGGAGGCTGGGGACGGCCGCTGCCTGTGTGAAGGCAGGCCCTGGGAAACGGAGACGACTCCAGAGGGCTCAGCTCACACGTAGGGCCGTGTGCACGAGTTGGTGGCGGGGCCCAGAAACTGCTCCGCGTGATGGATTGACTCTGTAAACCCCGAGTGCTGGCACGGCAGCCTGGGTGTCTGCGTCCTCGCCCGGGACCCTCTCCAGGCCCTGTGTCATGTTCTAGGAGACCATCCTGAAGCCAGAGTGAGTTCACTTGGCTGGACTGGGTGACCTGAGTGGGCGCATCTCCCAGCTAGGTGGACGCCAGCTGTGGCTTCCGCTTCCTGGGCAGGGTGTGGCCTCTGACCCGAGCCAGCCCTGATGAGCAGATGGACTCTGGCTGGCACCTGAGAGGACAGGCAGGCTCTGGGCAGAAACGTAGGCTCTGCTGTGAAGGTCCTTTCCGGGTTGCCCCAGGGCCGGAGTGGCTTTGGCTTCCTGTTTAAGTCCCTCTAGAAAGACCACCCCAGGGGTAGCTGAGTTTGAGGCTCCACATCGGTCCTCACTATGTGGCCTTGGGTGAATAACTCCACTACTCTGAACCTCAGTCTCCATCTGTAGAGTAGGACAAACGATGCTGTCACCTCTTGGTGCTCCAGAGGATTTGGAGGAACTTCCCCGAGGCCTGTGGCCCTGCACCTGCTGGTGGCAATACTCCCTGGAGTGGGCAGTGGGTGGACAGAAGAGCTGCCCCTCCTGAGCCAGGCCCCCCACCAGCCTTGGCATTCCCTTGGCTGAGACTCTTGGGAGCAGGATCCTCCAGGGACCTGGATCCCTCACAGGGGTGGTCAGTACCTTTCCTGGGACCCCAGCAGGTCTCTGGGCAAGCCCCAGGCCCTCGAGCTCCCTCGGGTCACTCCCTCCCCCCTCTGCCTCTGGTCTGTAGTCCTGTCCGTCTGAGAAATCCACGTTTCCAGGTGGGAGAAACCAGGGTCGGCCCGTGGAGGGAACAGGAGTCTCAGGGGCCCTTGGTCTCCACGGCTGGGTGGGATTCTGCCCTGAGACTGCCCTGCTGTTCCAGCCCCCGCTGACCTTGCTCCTGCCGGGAGATAAGGAGGCCTGGGAGGGGACAGCCAGTGGCTGCGGTGTGGGGGCTGGGCAGGGGCTTTCTCACGGGAAATTGCCAGCTCTTCTGGGGGAGTCCAGGTCTGCTGACCCCTGCCCCTCTACAGCTCAGCTGCAAGGGCTTCCTGGGTAAAGCTGTGGTCCTCACTGGAGTGAAGAGCCCAGAGGACACTGTGACGTCCTCCTCGAGGGGACTTGGCCTCACAGTGTTCCCAGGGAGTCAGGCCCTGGGCTGTCGCTGGGCTCTATCCCGGCTCCCTCACACCCGCCAGGCCTCGCTGTCCCCAGGGACGGAAAAGAATGTGGGAAGGGACCTGAGCCTCTGATTAGGAAGCCCCAGAGCTGGCCAGCAGCTGACCCAGGCCAGCTGTGCTGTCCTCCGCCATGCCTGGGTAGGAGGGAGGCAAGAGAAGCCAATCAAACCCTCGTCCTGCCACCGGGGCAGGGGTCTGGCACCTCGGGTGGCCAGGTGTCTGCAGCTCGGGGCCCTGGAGGGGAGCTCTCTCTGCCTGCCTGCTGGGAAGAGACCCATCTCCCGGCACCGCAGCTCTCCTGCAGGAGTCTCCAACGCCTCCTGCCGGGAGGACTTTCACCCTCCCTGGGGTACGCTGGCCGTGATGGACCCAAAGGGCCGTCTTCATGACCAAGAGAGAGCCCGCTGTGCCGAGCTCCTGGCTGCTGGGTGGCTCCCATGTTTTCAAGTGGCCCAGAGAAGGGCGGCAGTGGATACAGAGGTCCAGGCAGGGGACGGGGAAGGACAGCACCCACAGCCCGTGGG